ATGGCGAAGGCGAGATTCGAACTCGCGGCGCGGCCGGCCGGCTGATCAGTAGCACGACACTCTGACCCACGCGGCCAACCGTGGTCCCATTAGCATACATAAGCCACATGTAATATTTTTATTAAAGGATGTTTTCGTTCCTTTTGCCGTGTTCGCAAGTATCTTTTTACAAAATACACTCTTGTTTTTTGGCCTGTAGATTGAAACTACAAAATTTGAAATTTTTTGCCGTTCCAAGTGCTTACAGTCTTATATTAGGCGCTTGCAGATACATATTGGTGTGAACCTTAACTTCTTAAAATGACATGAATAAGCCATCCTCAAATATCAGCACATCGTCAAGGAACACCATGAATACTGAACATAGTTAGTTATTGAAATCGTCAACAATTTTTATAAATCATTCAGGTATAGCTTTATTAATTAAATTTCAACCATTTCATACGGATTTCTCAGCAACCTATCAACATATAGTAGTAGAGTAGCTTTAACCGCCATTTTTTAATATACTACAAAAGGAGAGCCTTTTATATTTAGCTTGTCTTCTGCAGGGTTATTACGTAAATCACCCATATAATTCTAAAAATATCAATGAAATGTCAAGTTGTTGACTAGATAGCTGATAGTTTGTAAATAGTTCGTTCTGCGCCTGCTACAAATGGGCATGAATTGAACGACAGCTAGCTTCTAGCTGACATTATGTAGGAATACCTACATAAAGTCATAAAAAACCTACCTAAATAGTGTTTTAAAAAACCTACCTACATAATGTCAAAGAAATGTCGTTTCTCAAGATATGTAATACCCTGCTGACCTCCAAATCAGAATAGCCCAAAACATTAGCCATTGACTTGAATTTTTTCGCAGGAAAGGTCTAATATTCCTGAGCTACTTTGAATCGGTACCAGCACCGAGAATATGTATTTAATATATTTTGCTCAACCTACAGCTTATTTTGATTAATTTTTACCATGAAAATGTAAAAAATTCATCTAATACCCCATGTAATTGACCGTGATTCCCCATAATTCACAGTAATTTCTCATGATCTCTGTAATTCATCCTAATTCCTGCATATTCACCTAAATGCCTGCTAGACAGACACATCTGGCTTCGGCCTCCCATCCTAACAATATCGATTTTTGTACATTCAGAATTGCCGGTACGACCCCATTGAGTAAAAATCTCAGAAATCGTTGTGTTTTTACAATCTCGGCCAAAATTATTAGTTATGTAAGTCATGCGCTAAGATCACGTATCCGATCTTAGTCACTCGCTGAGGTCTACGTGTGGCCCTAAAAGTCCCCCTTTGCTTCTCCAAAAAGAGCTGCGGTACTCTATACTGTCTTTTGATGGCCATACTCTGATACTACTTAAGAGTCAACAATTACGGAAATAAAAAGGCACGAGGCGTGATTGGCTTGATTCAAGAGGAGTGAATAATAGTATACGTATATATTAATCAGAAAAGGAGATACTTGGCGATGTCAAAACAAAGTACGCGCGAGGGTGACTAGAAACAATTTATCACGATGGCCGTTTTTTCTCGAAGGCGGACCATCAATTAAATATTATGGAACAACACATGCCGGGCAGTAGCATGTCGACTAGCACGGTCCCACATTTTTTATACGGGCAACTTTTGCTGAGGGCGCTGTACATGTTCGATACAGGCTTCCTGCTCTGATGTTAATTAATTATTAAAATAAATTAACGAACTATTTTGTTGCTGTTTTTATGAGCGAGTGTGGGACGCTGAAGAAGTTGGGGATCGAGGCTGGAACTTCAGAGTTTCATATTATACAAGGTGGTTAGGGTGACGGTTTTAGATTGATGTGAAAAGTTGCACGTAGTGTTCTAAAGTAGGAGAATGAAGATTATTATAAAATGGTTAAATCACTGATGGTTATATATATAGACATTTCCAGAAATCTACCAAGGATGCTTGCCTAGTAGGCAATGCCTACTATCTCGACCGCAACCCGTTTCTTATGTAAATGTGTGCGTGCATCACAAGTACGATGTACGTGTGTCACTGAGATAGACAAAGAAACCAATTAAACATTATAAATTAATACACATTAGAAACATGGCTTCAATACACTTAGACGTACACAATACGCAGTATAGATAAAATATAAATAGTAAACTGCTCCAAAAACTCTTGTCATTCCGCTATCGCGGACAAAGCACGTTTCTTGGGTGAATAGTGCGCATAGATAAGTGACCCATATAAAAAATTTAAGCGTACAAGAGCGATTGCTGACTGGGAATTCCATAAGGAAATTAAAAATTATGTTTGTGGTGCTATTATTCGAGAGAAAAAAGCCTACCTCGATTATGTTATGAGACAGAAAAATGCTAAGGCCACATGGAATATACTCAGATCTTTGAATGTCGTTAAACATAACTCCATAAATCTACCTCCACATCTTCGGGATCTCGATTCATTAAATAGTGCTTTTTTAAACGTACCTCAAACAACCAAAACACTAACTCAATTAGACCTTTTAGACAAATATGAAAACGTCAAGAATACTGGTACTTTTCTGTTCACGACAGTTTCACCTGCCACTGTAGAGAAATTTATCTATCGCATCAAAAGTCAAGCTAAAGGCTCAGATGGCATCACAATTGATATGATCCGTATAATACATAGACATTTGCTCAAGTATATTACCTTCATTAATAACTTTTGTATAACAAATAATCTTTATCCCTCCTCCTGGAAGAATGCTGTTGTTCTCCCTCTGCCTAAGTCTAATTTATCCTTCAAGTTTTTCTGAGCTTCGTCCTATAGACATTTTACCAAGCCTATCTTAGCTTTTGGAAATGGCTCTACATGAGCAGCTCCACACATTTGTGGAAATAATTCACTGACCACCTTCCAATCTGGCTTCAGACCATTACATAGCACCATCACTGCGCTCCTGTCTATATTATATTTATAGCGCGGCTGATCAAGGAAAGCGTCTTGCTTAATTCTTCTTGATTTTAGCAAGGCCTTCGATACGGTTGACCCAAATATTCTCTGTAAAAATCTTAGATACCTTGGTCTGTCCTCACTGGCATGCACGTTGATTAGAAGCTACTTAACTGATCGCTCATCGTCTGTTATATATGAAAACAATATATCAACTTCTGTATTCAGAAATTTTTGTGTTTCTCAAGGATCTATTCTGAGTCCCCTTTTATTTGCTGTTTATATATGTGATTATCATGAAACCGTCAGCTACTCAGTCGTTCATCATTGCGCCGATGATACCCAACTTTATAACAGCTCCAATCCTGATGAATATATGCTTGGGCAGCATCAAATCAAGATCTGATAAGATAAGTATGAGATGACATCTTGTCATTTAAACATCATCAGCTTATTGAATATTAAGAAATTACATATAATTCAGTCAAAATTTAAACAAATGTTTGATTTTTGAATAAAATTCATGATTTAATTACTATTGTTGATTTTTTATTCATGTCTATATTATTTTCTTCAATTGATACGCCATTTTACTGATTCAGGATCATCTACTGGGTGTTTTTTTCCTATAAACCTCTTGCAGATAGCCATTAAGCACCTACTTGATGACTGGTTCTACCAAAAAGTTCATAGTTATTGCTCGTTTCCAAACATTCATTCATTTACTTGCCGTTCATCAGAACCATTATGGCACCTTAGATTGATATTCCCACAAAACTATTCTGGTTTTTGAATATCCATACATCCATAAAGTTGAATATTTTTCGTTGCTCAGGAACTTAACAAACATCCACACTATATTCACAGCGATTTAGAAATACCCAAATATATGTGGTAGAGCTACCAGCAAACCGAAAACCTGCAGAAAAACTAGAAATTTGAAATATTTTTCTTTTTTCACTGAGTACATATTCTGGGTTATATTTATATTAGACGTTATTTGAATCACAAAACATATACACTGATTTGAATAACAGCTGATTATCTTCTGATATTTCCCTATATGAGCCTACAAACTGAAAATACTTTGTATTTACTAGAAATACTTAAAAACATGTCTTTTAGTCAGAAAGATGATCTGTATATGGGCTTAAGGAAATTCGAAATGGCATGTGACTTTTCGAAGCATTTCAATTAAGCATAATATATCAGTATAAAAAATTCTACGTTGAGCTTGGTCTACACATACTATTGGTGTTCATACTGAATTATAATTTTTTTAGCTAAACAGTGCATGGAAACACGAGTCAAATTGACATAACTTTTATTATTGTGGTTTTCCTGAACGGTGGTGTTACCTTGTCGCTTTTCTGCCTCATAATACTGCCGAACTTTGATCCGATCCAATCGACTTCTTATTCCTTTTCAAGTTCCCAAGATCACAACAATAAAAGCGAATTTGTATCACGTTGTAAATAGGTAAACTTCAGATTTAAAAACAATTACCAAATTCTATGTCAGCCAATAAAAAAAAATTACCAACCAGCGTTACCACTCAACGATCAACGATTGTACAGGTACCGGGTAGGGAGACGGAAAACAGAGTAATCAAAGTAATCATTTCGTGCTCGGATTGGTACTCGTTACTTCGGGTATCTATGAGTAACGAGTACTCGAGTTTCGTATGATTACTCTTTCAACACCACTACCCAGTGGAGCAAACTCTGCCAACTGTGGATATAAACTTTATTAATTCCAAGTCTTATTTTTGTTTTACTGTGCCTGCTTAGATATTCAAATACGGCCAGGAATTATTAGCGCCTGGCTATTTTAGGCCTTCAATAACTCCTTATTTTAGATCTCTCCTTATTTTGTTTGTTCCACGCATTCATGGTAGAAAAAAAAATATGTTATCGAATATCGATACCGTATACCGTGCAGCAGGCACGCCCATCACTACTTTGACAGATTGCAGAATGATGTCAGGGTGACAATCGTTATGTGTTTTTGTTTTTGTCTGAAATAGGCAATTAGTCTTTGTGTATTCATTTTTATTTATATAGCGTTTCCAGAATTTCATATTTCGAGACGATGTCAAGGGCCGGCAGGGGAAAATCTTTTTCTATCGTCGCCATCCCTATATTGTATCCCCACCAGTCACCAGTCAAGAACCGTAACCACCAATATTTTATCACTATTTATAATTCTTTTTAGCTCTTATTTTTCAGTAATTAGTAATAATTTTAGGTCTATGTCTACGGTAATTGCATTATGCACCTCGGAGATGTAGGGATTAACATGTTTTACACATATCGGTGTTTAAGGATGGGGACGACCATACTGTTTTGATTGCTTTGAATAAATTCATTAACCCAAGAATTTATAACAAATGATTACTATTATGATTAAGAGAGATGAGGAATTGGTTGGAATACATTTTATATTCTATTTTCGGATTTGCAACCGCACAATTCAACAGGTATGTGTAGCTATAATGATCACATAATATACACACAGTATATTGAACTTAACAAATTTCGAGATTGCCATGAATTAACAAACGACCAAACCTGCTGCCAAATTTAACAGCTAGAAAATCGACCTATTATTTCTCCCATTCCCATTCGCTGAGGGGATAACGGATTGTTAAATGTAAACCTATAACATATATCAAAATACATGAAAGTTGTCCTGTTTTTTCTGTACAAAAGCATCATGTTGGAATAAAAAGTGGTCATAATAATAATGTTGGTGAAATCGGCCCTAAACATGTTAACCAACTATGCAATGCGTCCTATAATGTGCTTCGTCAGTTATACCCGAGTCGAAGTCTCCTGTCAACACAGCTCAAGCTTAAACTCTGCGAATCCCTAATCCTGCCAGAATTATCTTACGGTGACTCTGTTTATGGACCTGCTTTCCTACAACGTGATCCCGAGCGGATTCAGATGATACAAAACTCACGTATCAGATTTTCTTATGGAATCCGTAAATTTGATCATATTACTAGCGCTTTTGAGCAATCGGGATTGTTTAAGATGAACAAATTGAGGAAACTTCATTGCCTATCTCTGGTAACCGTCCTCTGTCAGTACGATCAAAGATCTTCTAGGAATAAACGCATCCTACTCATCCTGCGGCATTCGACAGCATTGTTCACACGTAGTTTCTCGTACTGGGCACCCAAACTATATTGCTTGCGATAAAGAATATAGTCTAAGCAATTTTAAAAAAGGTTAAAGATGAGCTTGAAGCGATCGGATGGCTAGAAATAAACTTTACGCATATCCACAGGTAATTGATTGTTTAATTTTTCTGAGAAGTGTAATATTTTTAACATTTTCTTTTGTTGGTGGTCAATGTTGTGAACTGTGCCATTTAAATGTAGGTACTTTTTTTTCTTTATAGCTTGTGTCAATATTTTTTAGATTGGGTTGAAAAACAGCATAAGCTGACACTCACTATTCCTATTAAGCCAATTATTTTGTAATCATGTTACGAATAAAGGCCATTAATTATTATTATTATGAGAATCGAATCAATGGCAGGCCTCGGAAGTACCATAGTACCAGATCACATTACTCTACTATACCGAGATTTTGCGTTATCAAAATTCTAGCTAGTATTCAATATGCTATCCAAAATAGTTTTGTTTGATTTCCTAAAACAATATTCCCATGAGTTTCGCTTTATGAGATTTCCCGGCAATTCCAGAGTATTAACATTTGCGTGAAAAGCTAATAATACACCACCATTAAGAAGATATGTTAATGTTAACCTTCGACTTAACAACACAATTTACCGATGTAGCTGTTTAGGTCTGAATAAGATGTAAGGTGCTCAAGGCAAAAGTCGACGCTATCAACGCTATCTGTTCCAGAAACTTGTAGATAAGAATGCGTTAATAGCATTTTTTGTGGAATTCTCTCTTTGATGGCATTTTATGGTTTACTCGATTAAAAAATAATTTGATTGTGCGATAAGAACACCACTCGCAAGCCGAAGACTTAATCCCCACGAAATGAAAGGATTTTTCTTATCAGAAACATCTCGCCTTACATGAAAATTCGGATAACAGCTTTCAAGATATATATGAAAAATGAGTTTGGTTTGCCATTCACAATGACATTTTTCCATAACAGTACAATGGTCGCTGAATATATGCATTGTAAAGATATCCAGAAATCGATCATCCAATTTATGACAAGCAACATAGAAAATGCAAAACATTTTCGGCAAAGTCAGATAACCTTGGACATGCCATTACTTTTCTATATTGGTGTCTATTCAAATTAATATTCACGTGCAACTATGGTTAAGATCAAGCGTGTTATCTGAATGTCATTTAAAGGTCAAACTTGCTAAGGCTATATTTGCATGAATGAAGCTAGGTAGGTCGACTCATACAATACGTTAACTGTCCAAGCATATTCTAGAGATTCCAGCAACACGTCCATTATGCCAAACACATATTTTTTTAATATAACATATTTTCAACTATGTTTTATAGACAAAATCTCATCACTCTTTCCCTTCCATCTTCCATGATCACATATGACTCTTCAACGTATAAGTTGAAATAATATATATCTCGCGTCTATGAATTATATGTGAACATAAGTCCGATGATACCCGAGCAAGTGATTTATTTTAGAGGAAGGTTAAAATTTATACAATGCAACCCCTCAAAATGTAGCAAATATGGTGTAAAGTTCTATAAATTATGCACTACAAAGAGATTAACGTATTCCTTTTTTATTTATTGTGATGATCCCAAAATTCCCATGCTAGATGAGCCTGGATCTGTGGTATTAAATTCAGCTGAAGGCTTATTGAATGAAGGACGGTTGATCATAACTAATAATTTTTACACCAGTATTCCTTTAGCTAAATATTTGCTAGATCGTTCCACATATCTTTGTGTGAGTCTACGGAAAAATCAAAAGGGAGAGTTCCAAAAGAAGTTGTTAAGAGCAATTTAAAAAAGGGGACATAATCGCTTGACGAGACAACATCACAATTTTGAAGTGGGATGATAAGCGTGATTTTTGCATGTAGTCAGCTTGCCATGGGAATGATATCGCAGATACAGGGAGAAAAAGTAAAGAAAGGGCTGCTGTAACCAAACCGAAAGCCATTTCAGATTACAACTCAGGAAAGCAGGAAATTGATGTATCAGATCAACTAAGTAGCTACTATTCACCAGTTCGTAAGTTCGTGATTTAGTGCAAAAAGGTGGAAATTGAGTTAATTTTGGCACCGTTGTAATTAATACTTGGTTATTATACAACGAAATATCTCCGGAAAAAAGGCTCTATTGCGTTTTACAGAAGAAATAATTGAAGAACTTCTTGAAGTAGCTAAAACAACAACCCACATTGAACCATCCACTTCTGTTGAAATGTCAAAATTACCAAGAAAGAACGACGGTAAAATTATAAGAAAAAGATGCCATGAATTATACAGAAAAAACCAACGCGAAAATGGAACCAACTAGATACTTATTATACCATATGTAGTATCTTTCCTAAAACCTTTCATATAGTCGTTTTTAATAAATAAAATACTTTTTTGGAATCATTCTTACGAACATAAAAAATACGTCTTCGAATCATATATGATGCATCCTGGAAAAAAATTAAAGTGTAATATCTTCTTAATACGCCCATGCTATAATCAGCTGCTTAAATATCACGTCTAATTTTTAACGTATCGTAAGGCAAAGCTAGTACAACGCATCACATATGATTCAAGGGCGTGTAGACAAACATGTCCAATGAATCACATTTGATTCATGGACAGGTAATGCGTTAATATAAAACCGTGTCCCGAAAAGATACAGAATCTAAGTATTCAAAGTGGCGGGATTCGAAAGAAGTAAGTTTAAGTGAAATCATATTAGGCCTTTTTCCATAAATGAAAAACTTCATTTCGCAATTCTGAAAAATACAAGCTTCCGTCCAAAAAAATAGAGCTAACCTCCCAACGAGCTTTCAATCCACAGTGGAGGTGTAATTTAAGGTTATCTCACAGATCATACTCAGCCACTGTTTTGTTTCAACAAACATCCTATTCACATATTCTGTAAGAATTCTACCATATTCAAGCTTTTCATCAAACTTTCAGATGAAATTCATTTTCTAGGAACCTCTCTCTACCTCACGCCCGACCCTGTGCCCTTCGTACGGTATTTGAACTCTCTTACACACACACAGAAAACCGTAGCTAATTACAGATTTGCGTTTGCGGCCGTGAAACATTTAAGGTATGCAAAGTAGCTGTGTGGGTAGAGCTGTTGAACACGACTCATTTTGCCCTCTGTAATTATTAATGAGCGAATACTACTTCTACTACTGCGGAATGGAGACGGAGTCCACATCCCCCAGACAGACCGTCTGCAATGTGCTAGTGATGTGATATGACAATAAGTTAGTGGGAAACGCCATTTTTCTAATTTTGAATGATCGCTCAAAATCATAGAAATCGTAGTGCTACTGTAAACTTTCTTTTTATTTTTTAATAGTTATGGTGAATCGTTAACGAAAATTTGAGTGCAACACTGTAAGTCTCTTCAAATGGAAAAGAAATTTCTTAAGGTAAAGAGTGCGAATTTTGAAATACAATTTGAAGAAAGTACTACTTCAGGTGCTTTATTCCAATATCAGTGACGTATTACAGCAGATGTTTGGAAAAATAGAGCATACAGCTGAACACTTTTTGAGGCATATTGTTTGGGAATAGACCAAAGACTAACAATCCATATCTTTTTCAGTGCATTTTTTAGTTTCGTATAATTGTTTTTTACTTTAACTCCTTTCCAATGTACAAAATCTTTCCGAACTCCCTAAAGTAATTCTAGTGATGATTCTTTGTTTAGTTCTGAGTAAAAAACCTCATACCACGATGTTTCGAAATACATCTTATCTTCAAAATACCTTGCAATGTGTTCCCAGAAATTGTGTTAGTCAATTATATTTCAAAACCGTGAGGCTGACTCTAACGAAAGCTTGTCAATAACCAACGATTTATGGAAGGATTCGATACAGGATTGAACTAGATTTAATTCAGTCTTTCCAGAAAGCGCCATTAATCATTAAATAATTCTCGGGTATTTTTGAAATTTCCCAGGTACGCCACTGGTCTGTTATGAATTTTAGACTTATTTGATAGAACAAAAACGTCGATTTTTACATGAAACATTATATTAGCAAGATTCGAAAAGTGGAGTCTTGTTGTAAAACTTTGAATTTAGGTTTACTAAAGAGTGAGGTTAAGATTCAGTACTGACGTTCGATCCGCGCGACCTACTATGTTTCTATATGCAAAACTTAAAAGTCATCCCTCGTATCCGAAGTTAGTAGTAGTAGTTAATT